CTCTCTCTCTCTCTCTCTCTCTCTCTCTCTCTCTCTCTCTCTCTCTCTCTCTCTCTCTCTCTCTCTCTCTCTCTCTCTCTCTCTCTCTCTCTCTCTCTCTCTCTCTCTCTCTCTCTCTCTCCTCCCTCCCCTCCCCACCCCCCCCCCTCCCTCTCTCTCTCTCTCCTCCCCCTCTCCCCCTCTGTCCTGTTCTCACCCTCTTTGTATCTGCCCTCCTGTCTCTCTCTCACTCGCTTGCAGGGTGCTGGTCCGCTCCACACTTCTACGATTGAGCGCGCAGGAGGCAATGCGTGAGTTCGATGGGAGTTACGCCAAGGAGATCGAGAGGAGGAGGATACTTTCATCGGCCAGCTTACAGACAGGTCCATGCCTCTTCTTACTATTCACTCAGCGTCTCTCCCTCCTCTCCCGTCCATTCCTCTAGTATCGTTTTCCCTCCCTACGAAACCCCTCCTTCTCCCTTTCCCTCCTCGTCTCCCTCCCTCTCCCCTCCCTCTCCCCTCCCTCTTCTCCATACTCAGCCTTCTTCCCATGCTGCTCGCTCCTACTTGTATCTCTCACTCTCCTCTGGACTCCTGGCAGCTGCTAGTATCAGGAACCAGGCTCTCAAGAACGCCGTTCGTAGCATGCCGCCAAGAATGCGGGAGGTCAGCGCTTCATCTCCTCTCACCCTTCACATCTCTCATCTTGATTTTTCTTGGCAGGTTCTCCTCCAAAGTGCCCAGACGGCTTTGGAGTGAACAGTGCAAGTCATGGTATGCCGTGGGAGGAGGCGGGCAGGAGATTTCGTTTTGTGTTTTACCCATCTGATAGTGTAAACACGATCGTTTAACAAGGTAAACTGACCATAGTGGAGAATATAATGTACATGATGAAAAGAATATGTTTGTTTGAGCTCTGTTCGCCTCAATCCTCGGAGATTGCGAGTTGTATCTTGTGCTAGTGTCCATCTCCATGGAGATAGTCCACCAAACTGAAGTTAACAGTCAGCAACCACAACGGCACAGGAAGAATTGCTCACCACTTGGCTCGCCTCCCAGCAGGAGTATCTTCCTCTGAAAAGAAGGAAATCCAGCTTGTTTCCGAGAGCACGCCCTCCTGTTGCAGCTGCCTGGAGTGGTCCGAGCTCGTCATATCCTTCTGATCGTTCGCTGTCGATATTGGCTTCCCGAGGCTGTTTCTCCGTCTTTGAACGACGCCCTTCTCCGTGAAGCTCTGGCTCTGAAGAGCTTGTTTGGTCGTGGCATCCATACTGTTCGCAGTCAGTTTGCGAATTGAGAATGTGAGCTTCATGGTGTTGAAAAGAGGTTTTGAAAACTTGTTCTGCACTACAGCGTTCGGTTCTTGTCCTTGCCCAGCCCTCTCCTTGTTGTCTTGGTGTCCTTCAGCTTGATGTTCTCTCTTACCCTCTTCTCTTCAAACTTTCCTCCTCCTCCTCCTCCTCCTCTCCTCTTATCTCTTTTCCTCCCCCCCCCCTTTCCTCTCCTCATATCTAGTTCAGCCCCCCGGCTCTGATCCTACATCCTTTCCCAAGAGCCTCAACCTTGTGGCCCCACTTTAAGAAGGGCTACAAGATTACATCGTTCCGTAGTCATGTTTGCTACGTACCAGTTTTCAGATTTAACTCCAGATCGCACGTGTACCCCCTCTCAGTACTAATTTGGTAGGTGGGGTGAAGTCAGCAATGTCAGCATCTGAAGTAAACTGAAACCCCAACTTTACACTTGACTAGAGTGTAAAGAATCCTGTGAAAAGAAATAGCTCGAGTCATTATTTGTTAGCGGAAACTCGTTGAGCTGATTGAAATATCCCACCAAGCAATGGACGATGGCGACGTGTGGCGAGCTGGGGCATATGGCTGAATATTTCATCTATAATTTCAAATTGTAAGACAAAGTTTTATTTTTTCTGATTTAAGACAGAAAGATTTGTGAAATTCAGAAAATCGAAGAAACTTCGAAGTTCTACGTGGAACCTGTCGGGCAGGTCGCGTTGTCGTTGGGCAGAGAGGAAAGGAAGTTTAGAGGAGAGAAGGAGAGGAGAGAAGGAGAGCAGAGAAGGAGAGCAGAGAAGGAGAGCAGAGAAGGAGAGCAGAGAAGGAGAGCAGAGAAGGAGAGCAGAGAAGAGGGACAGGAAGTTCATTTATGAACAACTCGAAATGAGGTGGAAGGAATGATATCATATAAAAGAGATTTGTTCTAGGGAGGATATTCAACGGCCGAAGAAAATATTTGGCGGGGAGGACGACTATGAATAAGATGAAAGAAGAGTGAAGGCATCATTCTTGACACAGAGATTGTTAAGAAGCTGTACGATGTACAACAAAGAAACCAATACCATGTACTTCAAGTTGACAACATCTTGCACAGCCCAACGCACCACCGATGGCTCACACCGGGAGGGGAGAATGCCTCGTCACGCTCATGCTCGCTGTGTCCTTGGCTCTGCAATGCACCGCGGTGGAGATCACTCAGGAGCAGCACGAGAACCTTCCTGACTACGGGGACCCCAAGGTGATATGCTGTTCCTCCGGTCGAAGCGCTTACGATCGTGCCGTCAGGTTGCTGCTAGGCTCAAGTGTAGCGCATGCAGAGGAAGCGCTGTTGAATTCCATGATACGCTGAGGGAGCTGAGGGAGAGGAGGAAGGCGGCTCGCATCAAGGACTATGAGTACACGGAAGCCCTCGACGTCGTGTGCGAGTCCAGGGTGGACGAGTACGGGCTGCAGCTGCGGAACAACCTACCGACGCAGAAGTTCAGCAAGGACAAGTCGATCGCGCGAGCGCACGGGAACTGGGCAGGGAGGTACATCAAGAACTTGTGTGGGGAGATGTACTCGGACCATGAGGAGGAGATCCTGCGGCACAGCGAGGAGGAGCTGCCGGCGTTCGTTGACTCCATGTGCCGATCTGTCATGAGGGTGTGCGACGAGGAGTCGATCTCGGACAAGACGCTAGGGGACGAGGAGGTTCGCGCCAAGGGGAAGGAGCTATGATAGCTCCGCCTGGAAGTTCATCGACAGTCGAGGAGGGAGGAGGGAGTAGCAGGATGGAAGGAGAAGGGGCAAGTGGGGTGGGTGGCGAAGGGAGGAAGGGCCGAGCTGGCTGCTACTGCATGTCTGAGAGGACGGTCCTGAACGCGCTCTTGAGCTCTGCGGACTTGGGAGTGACCTCCTCTCCGAACTGGCTGCTTGTGAACTTCTCCAGCGCCTCGTAGCGGAGGAGGACGAAGTCGTACATCTCTGAAAGGGAGCCGTGGAAGAGGAAGGGGTCGTCTCCCAAGTGCTTCTCCACCCTCCTGTGCAAAGCCATGGCCGTCCCCTGAGCACCTCGCTCTGCGAACGCCTTGCGGGAGATGGAGAGGACGGCGGAGCGAGTTCGGAGCTCCACAGGAAGCATCTCCCCCTGCTTGCCGCCCTCGCTGGTCAGGCAAACCGTCAGAGGCATAGCAAGGAAGGAGGAGGAGGAGGAGCAGCAGCAGCAGCAGCAGGGTACTTACTGCGAGCCTTCGGATGCAATAAGATAACTCGTCACAGTGACGAAGTTTCCAAGCTCGCGGGTCAGTGTGAACTTGACGTACCTTTGCCTGCACATCCACACAGTCAAAAACCCTCCAACATGTTCGAATTTTCTCCTCCTCCTCCTCCTCCTCCTCCCTCCTGATTCCCGTCCTCCCCTCCCCGTCCTTCCCTTCCTTTTTCGCCTCAACCCCGCCGCATCATCGCACATGTGAAGTTCTTGTAGCGCGTCGATCTGACTCGTCATCTGCAAGATGAGAGGGTCGTCGCAGATGTATCCCTCCAGCCCCCTCGCCCTTTCTTCCTCCCTCCCTCGTACCCCCTGCCCCACCAGCCCCCTCCTCAACTTGCTGCAGCTCTTGAGCATGAAGCGAGGGCCGTGCTTAGGGTCGGAGGAAGCGAGTTCGGCCAGAAGCTTCATGGCTGCCGTGACGAGCCTTCCGACCGCCTGTTGGATGTTGTCCGACTTCACCCATGAGATTGTTTCCTGCTGTTCCTCTTTATGGGGAGATGGAGCATGGACAGGGGCAGGGGCGGGGGTAGAGACATGTCGTTTTCTATCCATCAAGGTCCCGTCAGTCTTGGTGTTCTGACTGCGGTACAGCTCATGCACAAACACAGGCAGCTGAGGAAGAACTTCAGATATAGCAAGCGATCTCCTCCTTCTTTCCCTTGACTCCTCTACCCTCTTCCCCCTTCGTATGCCGCGAAAATCATCTGATCCATCCCTGCCATCCCTGCCAACCCCCCCCCCTCCTCCCCCCCCCTTCCCTTCGTCCTTCCCTTCGTCCTTCACCAGTTCACCTTGCTGATCCACGAAGGAAGTTTGCGAACGTTGGAGGCATGCTCGCACAGGGCTTCGACCTGGAGGCCAGCTGAGCATCTCGAGTTCAACGAGCCTCTCTCCTGCTCTCCTCTCCTCTCTCCTCCCTCCCCCTTCCTCTCCTCCCTCCTTCTTTCCCTCCTCACCTGCTCGTCGATGAAGTGCGAGAACTTTGACTGCAGGTTGATGCTGACCTCCCACAGGATCTTCTTCCAGTACCAGCAGAAGCGGTTCGATGACCCCCCCGGTGCCCTCCTAGTCACCCCTCCCTTCCCATCCTCCTGCGCCTCGCTTCCTCTGCCCGCTCCCTCCTTCCCGCCCTTCCCCTCGCTCCTCTGAAACTGCTCCAGCGCGACGCTGGTATGCGACAGCAGCGCCGGCAGTCCGAGCATGTCGTGCTTGATCAGCCAGCTGCAGAAGGCGATGATCTCGGTCGAGATCGACATGAGGCACTTCTGGAAGATGCTCGACAGCTGCAGCTCCTCCTCCTCCTCCTCCAGCGCCAGCCACCGGGCACAGAACGCCTGCTCGCTCAGAAGAAGGGACCCCAACATCCTGAACAGGTGGGCCAGCCCGCACCGACCGATGACGCGCCCGTCTCCTCCCCCTCCTCCTCCTCCTCCTCCCTTGTCCGAGTGGAACGCGTCTACTTCCTTGCTTCGCGCGTCCGGCACCATGAGTAGCCGATGCTCCTTGCTCGCACGCACCACCTGCTCCTTGCTCAGCTCAATTAGAGACGTCACCTCCTCCCTCAGCCACGGCCCAGCAAGAGCGATGTAGCTCCGTTCCAGCGAGCTCCGAGCTGACACGTCGAGCTCCACGAGGTGCTCGATGAGGGGGAAGTAGACGCCAAGATGCCCATGGATCGCCTCTCTGCTCCCCCTCTCCGCTCCCTGCACCGCTTCCTCTAGCTCGCTCCTGAGCTGGTGGAGGACTCGGCGGGAGAAGGCGAGGCGCAGGCTGTGAATCTGCTCCTTCCTCTGCATGACCGCCTCCATCCTCAGCATGTCGGGAGGGATGTTCTCTACGAAGTGGTTGACGATGCCCACGAGCCTCCCAGCTGCCTCCACCAGCCTGCCGTTGAGCTTCCCCTCCTTGGTCGTCAGCGGGGCCTCACGGATCATCATCTCCTCCTCCTCCCTCAGCCACATGTCCTCCGTGAAGGCCGATATCAGCCTCTGCATCTCCGCCTGGTTTCTCAGCACGGCATGGAACCTGTTGCTCGTCGCTCGCAGCGCCATGAGATCAGCATGAGCCCCCCTGATCGACTTCTCGAACTGCCCGACGTCGTTGACGAGGTCCATGGCAGGCCCCGCCGCCTCCTCCAGCCTCCTCGTCAGCGAGCTGATCAGCCCCTGGCTGTTGAGCGTGGAGTGGATGGTTGCATCCTGCAGCAGCACAAACTCGCGCGTCAGCTGCTCCTTCAGCTGTAGCACCTCGTCGAGCCTCGTGTTGTTGTGCAGGATCTGCATCAGTTCGATCTCCTCCTCCTCCGTGATCGCCTTCTGCTCCTTCTTCTCCCCCTTCCGCTGCTCTCCTGACTTTCCTCCCCCGTCGAGCGCTCCGCCGAGCCTTGCTCGCTTGCCTTGGACGTCAGCGATAGTCTTCCCCTGCTGACGGGCAGTTGACCCGCTCCTATGATCTTCAGCTCCCCTCCTACAACCTCCTTGTACAAGTTCTTCACGCTGGTCAACAGGTGGACACACTCTGAGATGTTCGCACACTTCCACGAGTCAGCCCTCTTGGTCGTCTTGATCGTAACTACAGGTGTCTCCACCCCCTCCATCCCGTCCTCCACCCGCAGCTCCAGCAACTCTGAGACAAAGCAGCTCCTCTTCTCGTCCTCCTGCATCCCCGTCGAACCCTTGAGAACCACGATTCTCCCTGCTCCTCCTCTTCCTCCCCCTTTCCCTTCATCTTGCGCTGTTCCTTTCTTCAACCCTCCCCTTGAGAGACATATGAACCTGTCTGGTTTGAAGCTCCCTCCCCCTCCCCCTCCTCCCCCTCCCCCTCCGGCTCCTCCTCCTCCTCGCTTCTTCCTCTCCACTTGTGTCTTCTCCACAGCGAGAAGAACTTCTACGTCCTCGTCTCTCTCCCTCCTCCTCCTCCTCCCCCACTCCTCTGCCGCCTCCCGCAGACCCTCCACCATTTCCCCCGACAACACGGCCCTCATCCCCTCTAAGATCCCGGCCCGACGACCTGCCCGACGCACTGGACGCACTGACCGGACCGTCCGACCGTCGGGTCGCCCGATCGCTGAGTCACTGAGTCAGTCCGAACCCAGGCTGCACTGACGGTCAGACGGTTGGCCGCCCGGCCCGCCCGGGGGGGGCGGCGCACGGACGGTGCGGCCGCCAGTGACAGGCAAGTTGCGGTCCACCGTCGGGAGCAGCGGCAGGACTGCCAAAGACGGACGGGCCCGATACTCGTGAACTTGAATATACATCCTCGTTTGATTATTCAAATTACTAGTCAGAGGAGCCCAAGTCAAGCCTGAGCCTCTCAGTCCCTTGAGACTACTGAGTTCCATTGCCCGGATGAGGGAGTCGCTTCCGCTGCCGCCGTCCTGCTGCCGCATCATGGCTTTCAAGTTCAGGCTCCGATCGTCCCGGGTCAGCATCAGCCTCTTCGCCTTCAGTGCCATGTCTCCGAATCAGCAAGCCGGAGGCCCGAGGCCCGTCCGACAACCTTCAGTTGACCTCAGGATCTTTCTTGTTGGCTGCAGAGAGTCTGTCACAAGACAAGGGGCGCAGGTGTCAAACTCACGGTCTCCTCCTCGATCCCCTTCATCCCCTCCAGCTCCCTTCCCAGCAGCGCCGTCGGCAGGCGCAGTCTCTGGTGCCTGTCGGAGCACGTCACGTGACAGGAGTCGGAGCACGCCACGTGCTCTAGCGCGAGTTCTACCGGCTGAGCTGGAGTCTGCAGCCTCCGCTTCTTGCCCTTTTTGAAGGAGAAAATTTTCTGGGAGGCGCGAAGAATCAGCTGGACAGCAGGTGAGGAGGGGGCGGGAAAACCTGGTGTTCCTCGTCGTCTTCCTCCATTATGACTTCATCCTGCCCTCCGTCGTCAGGTTTGCGTGAGAGGCAGCGGCGGTTGCAGAAGAAATGATGCAGGTAGAGGAAAAGGAGGGTAAGAAGGCGAAGCAGTGGGAGAAGCAGGAGGAGGAGCAAGAGGTGGTGGTGGGTGATGGTGGGAGAGGGAGAGAGCAGGGAGAGAGGAGGAGGAAGGAGGAGAAGGAGGGGGAAAGAGTTTCAGGAAGAAGAAAAGCACCGTGGTCTTCAGTCTGTCCGGTACCCCGATAAGATCCTGCACGTAGTCCGCGACCGCTGGCATCTCGGCAGCTTTGTGCTTTCCAACCTAGGAAGCGAGGAAGGGAGTCAGGGGCGAGGGAGGGAGAGGGCGAGGAGCAAGGCAGCGAGGAGGTAGGGATGACCTTGGGGACGAACAGAGGGTCATTCTCGTCCTCGCTGTGTGAGAACTTCTGTCGCAGTTTCCCTTCCTCGGACATCAGCAGCCCGAAAGTAAGAGAGCAAATGGACCTTCAACCGTCGGCCTCAACCGGTAGGAGCCGTCGTCGTCCTGGTTGCAGTGTGAGGGCGGAAGGGCGGAAGGGCAGGGTAGCGAGTGGTTACATCCGGGTTGTAGTAGACGACAGACCCGTTGATTGATCTCAGCTTGATCTTTTGCTCCTCCTCTGCGAAGAGGTGTAAAACAAGAAGAGACAATGAGGAAGAGAATGGGTACGTGGAGGAGGGGGAGGAGGAGGAGGAGGAGGCAAAACACTTACCCGTGAGCGGCTTCAAGGCTTCTACAACTGACTTCTTGACCTGTATCGATAGCGGTAAATCAACCATTTCATCCCTTTCACCTTGTCATTCATCGCACTTGCTCGGGCGGTTGAATGCCGAGGTGGTCTATAATGTCCTCCTGGAGAAGAAGAGGTGAGAGGAGCAGCAGGGAGAGAAGGGCGTGAGACCTTCATGTAAGCAGGAGTGATAGTCGCGTTAGAGTCTTCGTCAGATTCAGAGTAGAGGTCTGAAAGGTCACATGAGACGCATAGAAGAGGAGGAAAATTGAGGAGGAAGGAGGAAGGAGAGGGAGGGAGGGAGGGAGGGAGGGGGAACAATGTATGCACAAGAAAGAATTGAGGGGGTTATGCCACTGTTAGAACTCTTACATGGCTTGAGGTGTTCAGGCACGGTTCCATTCTGCTCAACAATGCAGCAGTAAGATGTACAACCACACATCACCACTCACATTCGGAAAAAAAGTCAGAGGGCAGAGGTACACGTTGCACAGTACAACAGTGATTGCACCACATAGCAATTCCACCCACCTCCAGCAAAGCCTGCTCAACTTGGAGATCGAGGTCATGGTAAATCTTTGCTTCCTCCGAGACGCTGTAGGACCTGACGGGATATTTCAGCAGAAGAAGCTTCCGAGTCACCCTCCCATCCTCTTACCCCTCTCTTGTCCTCAGCCTTCTGCTCCCTCCTCCCATCGCAATCCTCCTCCTCCTCATCCTCCTCCTCCTCCTCAATCCCAACCATCACCCCGCACCCCCCACTTCCTCGTTGACTCTCCTCGCTGGCTCTCCTTCTCTTCCGAATCTCACCAGAAGTTCTCTCGCACAGTCTGGGAGTTTGGCTTGAACTTGTGATAGACCAGACTTTTCTTCTGCTCCTCCACCCTGCTGTCTGCATCAATCCTCTCCCTCCCTGCCCCATCATCCCACCTGTCCTCCCATTCTTTGCGCGACATTGGCCTTCCCTGGTAGAGCTTTTCGCGGATGGTTTGTGCTGTTTCTCTTTTGCGGGTGCGAGGCAAGAAGGAGGAGGCAGAGGAGGCGAGGGGGCACAACGAAAGACATGGAGGTGGGAGAGGGGGGAGGGAGGGGGGGATGCAAGAGGGTGAAGGGGGAAAGGATAGGGATGGAGTAGAGGAGGAGAGGGGAGGGAGAGGAGGAGAGGGGAGGGAGAGGAGGAGAGGGGAGGGAGAGGAGGAGAGGGGAGGGAGAGGAGGAGAGGGGAGGGAGAGGAGGAGAGGGGAGGGAGAGGAGGAGAGGGGAGGGAGAGGAGGAGAGGGGAGGGAGAGGAGGAGAGGTGAGGGAGAGGAGGGGGCAAATTCAGCATCATCGTACGCTGACCAATAGTCTTGCTCACCTGACCCATGCCTCGTACATTCTCTGTGCCATTTGCGGGCCGAAATCCTGAGGGGCAAGTTGAACGAGTGCACGATGAGTGCTGGAAAACCTCCATGAAAGAAAATCTTCCCCGTTGTCTGATTCGCAACTGTGCAGGGAGCAGGA